TCGGGGCTCGGGCAGGAGGCTGCAGGGGGAGCCCAGGGCGCCGGGAGGGGCCGGAGCCAGGCGGGCGCGGCCGGGGCGGTGCGGGGACGGCCTCGGGGCTCGTGGCCACCCCCTGCCCTTCTGTCCCCGCATTTGCCCCGAGCGCGGCGGGCGCCGCCTTCTGACCACGGGTCTGTGTGCGCGCGCCAGCCTCGGGGACCCACCTCGCTGCGACGCTGGCGCTCGTCTGTCTGCTCGGTCTGTTCGCTTCAGGGGCCGGGTCGCGCCTTCCTGTGGCTCCAAACGCTGAAAACGCCGCCACCGCGGGAGCGCGGGAAAGACGCCGGTCCGGCCCCGCCCCCGCCCCGCCCCCCGCGCCTTCCCATTGGCCGCCGCTGTGCCTCCCGCCCAATCGCAGGGCTCGGCGCCAGAATTCGAATCTCCGTTTTTGTCTGAATCTGGCGACGCCGGACCACGGGGGCCTCTGCGCTCAGAGCCGCGACGCCAGCCCCCGGGGACGCGACCCGCTGTGAAATTCAAGTTCATCTGCTTCTCGTTTCCGCAACTCTGTTATGCCTTCAAAATAGGATTTTGATGCTTTATCTGGCTTTTTCCTGCTCATTGTGTTGAGCATCGCGCTGCTGCAACGTCTATATCCTGACGACGAGCTGAAGTCACGGCACATCTGTTTTTGGTTTGTTTTGGTTTTTAAAGATGGCCGGTAAGGGGATCTTAACCCTTGACTTGGTGTTGTCAGCACCACTGTCTCCCGAGTGAGCCACGGCCGGTCCCCACGTTTGCTTTGGAACAGCTTTTATTGAGATGTAATGTCCACGCCACACAACTCGCCCACTTACAGTGTGTGACCCGATGGATTTGAGCACACTCAGAGTTTTGCAATCATCACAGCAGTTGTACAACTCTATCATGACTCCAAAACGAAAGCCCTCAGCCATCGTCCCCAGTTATCCCCCCCCTCCACCCCTAGGCAGCCATTAATCTCCTTGTTTTTTTTTTAAAGATGACCGGTAAGGGGATCTTAACCCTTGACTTGGTGTTGTCAGCACCAC